GACAGTGTTGGCTGGAGCTTCCTGACTAAATCAAGCCTGGAAGCAGGAGCAGCATCCACTTCCAAAATGGCTTGCCTCCAGAAACTCTATGTACGAACAGTGCTCAGGCTGTTCGTTCATAGGGTAGCTATGAGTCGTCTACGACTCAACGGCATTAAACAACAACAACAACAACAAACTAAAAAATTTTGTAGTCATATGCCAAAAAAATAAAAGAAAAAGAGAATCTTAGTACCTCACAATATATGCAAAAATGAATCAAGATGGATCAGGTCATAAGCATAAGAGTTAAATGTAAAATGTCTAAGAGAAAAAAGTATAAGAAAATTTTTCTGTCACCACCACAAGATAAAGGTAAACAACCCAATCACAAAATGGGCACAGAATATGAACAGGCACTTCACCAAAGAAGACATTCAGGTGGCAAACAAACACATTAAGAAATGTTCAAAATCTCTACCTCTAAGAGAGATGCAAATCAAAATGACTATGAGATAGAATCTCATCCCAGTAAGAACAGCAAAATTTAACAGAGTAGCAAACAACAAATGCTGGCAAGGTTGTGGAGAAACTTGAACCCTTATTCACTGTTGGTGGGAGTGTAAAATGGTGCAACCAATATGGAAGGCAGTATGGCACTTTCTCAAAAAGTTGGAAATTTGACCCAGCAATTCCACTACTGGGAATATACCCTAAAGGAACCAGAACTGCCATCCAAGCAGATATATGTACACCCATGTTTATTGCTGTGTTGGAAACAACCCAAGTGCCCATCAACAAATGAATGGATAGAGAAACTGTGGTATATTCACACAATGAAATACTATGCAGCAGTGAAAAACAAAGAACTCATGAAATATTATGCAAATGGGTGATCCTGGAGGACATTATATTGAATGAAATATCTCAGTCACAAAAGGACAAATACCGCATAATGCCACTGTTATAAAACAGGACTGACATGGGGGTTGGGGGAAAACTAAGAAGATATAAATAATGTACACTGCACCGAAACAGATGAGGAATAGAACTGTTTAAATGGAATATATGATTAGGTATTATTTGCTTGAAAACAGTCCAGAATAAGAGCTGCATAGTAAAGTCGACTGGAGGGGATTGTACAACAATGAAAGAACTTTTTTCCAAAGAGAAAAGTGAACTGGGAGGGGGCAGGGAGGAAAATGTGCAACAATGAATAAATGGAAATCCACGTTCTGTATAAACTTTCATTGAAATATCAATTTAAGGAATTTGACCTTGACTTCTCGGATCCTGTTGGATCGAGGACTCTGCTAGATCTAGGACTCTGGTGGAGCAGGAGCTGTGTGTGAAGGCACCTGCATAAGTGTCACCAGGCAGGGAACACTGAGAAAACAATTGGGTAGGAAATGGACAGCAGGAATTTGAGTAGGGACCCCGATCGTGAGCACACTCAGATAGCAGAGGTTTGAGCAAGGTCCCCCAAGTGTTTGACCTTCCCTTGCAATCACCCCAACCCTGTGCCTTCCTCAACCCATTTGGCTCCACACCAGTGCCTACACATCTAGGCAATCAACTTGCCTTTAATCGGGAGCACCTTGACCTGTCTTACCAACAAGAGATTGCCCTCGCAGGCTCTGAACTGACATTTCTCAGAAGTCAGAAGTTCAGAGAAACGCACAAGTTCAGTAGCTGCCCAACTGATCTCAAGAGCATTGTCTTCAGATCAAGAACATATCAATGTCTCGAAGAAAGCAAACTATCCCACACAGTACACAAGAGCAAAG